ACCTTTGTGTGACATTTTGATGACCAAGCTTTTATGGAAGCACGAGGAGTAAATATTGTTAATCCAACAGTATGAAATTTATGGCCAATACCTGGACATGGATTGATTTTCAAGATGGTACTAAGCTTTTAAAGGTGTTCTTTCTCTGTTTTTAATACAACACCTTTTAAAAAAATAATTCTTCCTCATCTAAGAAAATTAAAAATAGGAAGCTAACACATATATTTAATATGTATGTTGGTAAAGTCAACTAAATACATGTGTGATCATTTTTTCCAGATGTAGAAATGCTTCAGTCAGATGCTAATAATCCTCTTTCACGGACTACCAAGGACTATATGATGCGCAGATTCTTAGAAGGTGAGCGACATAGCAAACACTTAACCAAAAGGCAAGATTACAACCAGAAGCAATTGCTGTGCATGTTATTCTTTGGCAGCTATCTACCAGCACCCTTGCAATCTTTGCCTCTTCAGTCCAGGATTTCACTGTTTTAACTATTTATTTTAAGATTTATTACCTACAATATAAACAGGTTCAAGGTGAATCATACAGTGATCACAGTGTCCCATAGCTGCTCTTGGTACAGAGCGAAAGGCATCTTTTATTGTTGAGTAGCAGTGGTCCAAAATATTCTTACTTCTTGTGAGACAATTGATATGCTGAATGTATCTTGGCATCTCTTGCCTTAGGTCAGCACTGTTAAAATCTCCTAACACAGACATGTCAAACACAAGGCCCGGGGGCCGGATGCGGGCCACGAAGTGGTTTCATGTAGCCCACGAAGCCATCCTGGAAACAGTGAGGGAACGGCCCCCGCTGCCTTGGCCCTGGCCCAGGCCAGCCGGGAGCCAATGTACAATTTTGTGGTGGCCATCTTGGCACTTGCCCCGGTGGACCATGCCTTGGCGCTTGCCCCGGTCCCACCCCCTTCTGCCAGAGACCCTCAGATCTGTCCCACTCCTGCCCAGGAGGCCCCCACAGGCACCCTTGACGCGAATGATGTAGAAATGGCCATGGCCACCCAGTAGGCCACACCCACTCCATCCACGGCCACCCAGTAGGCTGCACCCATTCTGGCCACACCCACCTGGCCCTCAGTGAAATTGAGTTTGACACCCCTGTCCTAACACAATGAGCACAGAGTCTGAATATCTCTGTTCAGCCCACAAGATTTGATCAGTTAAGGTTTGCATTGCCTTGTTTAAGCAGGCTTAGGGTGGGTATGTAGACCCAATTAGGATGAACGAAGAAAATTCTCAGAGGGGGGGCATAATAGGGTATGCAGTTAATGTCTCACATCACAAAATTTCTTTAGTGTAGCGACATTTTTATACCAACGGTTATTAACATAAAAGCAGATACGGCCTCCCTTCTTTTTTTTCTGGATGTTTCTGCCATTCTTATCTGCTCTTTTGAATCTGAAATTCTGGGATTTGTTTGTTTTCGTTTTTAATATGATTTCCTTTTGAAGGTGTGAGTTTGGAGATACCAGAACCTAAAGAAAGTATCTACCATCAAAGTGAGGACAAAGATGTCTATCATACTGTGGAACAAGACAGCTTTCCTCAGGAAATGGTCAACAGGCCACCAGTTCCTATTCCAAGACCTGATCTCTCCTCCATACAGGAAGACAAAGAGCCATACATTTGTAAAGGTGAGTAGTGAACAAAAATCTGATAACATTTTTTGCTAGACGGTGTAGAGTAGGAGGGGGGGAAAATGTCCATTTTTACAGATGTCAAATACTTATTTCGTTTCAGATTTTTTTTTTGCCTCTTGTTTTTTATTATAATATTTTATTAGTTGTCTATATCAGGGCTTTTCAACCAGGGGTACGGGTACTACCTGTGGTACATTGGCACCTGGCAGGTGGTACGTGACCATCCTAGAAAAGTGGTAGCGGGGGAGGGGAATGAGCTGAACCGGTGGCAGCACCGCACAAGCCTGAGCGAGAGACGGCTGGAGCTGCAGGGCTGTCAGGGCTCAGCGGAAGCGCCAGGATCAGCGCTTCTTTGGGGCTGTCAGGGCTCAGTGGAAGCGCCAGGATCAGCGCCAGGCTCCAACTGGAGCTCGGCGCTGATCCTGGTGCTTCTGCTGAGCCCTGAAGAAGCACCAATCAGCTGGAAAGCAGCACTGATCCTGGTGCTTCTGCTGAGCCCAGAAGACGCGCCGATCAGCTGGAATGTTGTTGCAGCATCTCCAGGGTCTTGTGATTTACATTCAGATGCTTGGCAACTGATTCAGATTTATGACGGTCACAGTGTCCCAGGGTCATGTGAAGTGACCAAAACCTGCTGCAATCAACCTGCAGACAGGGGGAATAAAAACCAAACACCCCCCACCCCACCCCCGCTGCCAATCCTCAACAGAAATGCTCAGAACAATGGAAACCTCAGACAGGAGGAAGAGCGCCACCGACTGGGCAGGCAGGTGTCTTGCTTGGCTGTGCCTTGGGGGGCACTTTTTTCAGTGCCATTGTAACTTCGAACAGTCACTAAGCGAACTGTTGTAAGTCAAGGACTACCTGGTCTAGACCGCTCCTTTTTAAAATGTGTTTCAATTTTGGGTATTCCTCTGAGTTTTGTTCCTGTTTGTATTTATATTTCTTTTGATGTTATGTTTGATAACTTGATTTATATTTCAATACTATTTATAACATTTTTAATATGTGCTACTTACACAACTTTATATTATGAATTTTTAAAAATGTTTTAAATAAATTGTACATGTTCAGTTTTTGCAGGAAAAGATCAAGAGAAATCTGGGAATCTTTATATTTCTGCAACAAATATTGGCAAAGGTGACAAAGGTGAGTCGCGATTACAGAATTTTTGCAGTTTTTTGACAAGTTATTGTAAGTTTTATTAAGGGTTAATGCTGTTCATTATAGATTAGCATAACTGAGCCATGTTAGTTAAATCAAGTAATGGCAATGTGATCTAAGAGCTGTTATCTTAGAGCAGTGTTTCTCAACCTTGACAATTTTAAGGCATGTGGACTTCAACTCCCAGAATTCCACAGCCAGCAATGCTGGCTGTGGAATTCTGGGAGTTGAAGTCCACATGCCTTAAAATTGTCAAGGTTGAGAAACACTGTCTTAGAGGAACATAAGTAGCCATGCAAAATATTGATGTGATTCCTCTTCTATCTAAGTGGTGAACTGTCTTAGTAACACGTCTCTTCCCTGTTTTTACACAATCTCAGAAAAAACACACTCCCACCCCTAAATCCAACATGACGGGTCTCCAGGCATTTCTAGAAATACTGCTAAATTTATTACACTATCAAATGTTAAATTATGTAGTAATTTTGGGAACTTCAGAAGTTTTATAAATTCAGCTATGCAAATTTCTTGAGATTTGCAATTGGTTTTATTGCTTTCTGATGCAAGGGTTATTTTGATCTTCAATGTAATTTAAATAAATAGAGGAGTCCGGAAAAAGTTCATGGCAGACTAAAAAAAGTCTCTGGAGAAGCTGTTGAATGAAAAATCTTCATCAGGGTCCAGTCCAAGCTAGGAATAAACAAAATAGAGACTGCTTTATAATAGTGGCCAAAATTGTGGAAACCTTTTGGGAAAAGTTTATTTTTGAGGTTTGATGGCTAATAACACTACTTTTTTTTGGGAGTAGTACCATAAAATTATATATCAATGGAAAGATAATTTAATCAAGAATGTAATGCAACAAAGTTTGTTCAATGATCTGTACTGTATTCTATGAAAAGTGATAGCCAAATAACCAGAAAAAGGAAGCACAACTTGCTTAGGTTGATATCAGGTAGCTTTCCTTCATCTGATGGTAGCCAATGAGCACGAGTGTTTAGAGAGCCAATGAAGTGTCATCTTGTTTTGGCAATGAGCCAATCAGATCACAGTAGGAGTCAGTGATTGATGTCATGTATTGAAGCTGAGAGAAGGACATGTGTCAGTGTGTTATGTGATCGCTATCAAGTTGGTTGGGTTTTTTTCCCCCTTTCATTTAGTGAGCTTGTAAAACATAATAGAATTAAAGTCATGGTGCAAAGAGTTGACTGGTCGCCCAGAAAGCGATGTAAAATAGTATTATTAAGTGAACAAGGCTACAGTTATAAAGAAATGAGAAGAAAAACGGGTGGAAACTTAACCAAAGGTGGCATTTCTACTGTACACTTTTCCCAAAAGGTTTCCACAATTTTGGCCACTACTGTAGAAAGAAGGTTGGAGTTTATTGAAAAACAGAACCACAAGACATGAGGCTCTGGAGCAGCTGACCACATGTTGCTGGGAGTGGTGGGTTTTGATACCTTCTGGGGCCTTTGAGGTTGTTTCCTGTTCCTGTTTGAGACTTTGTATTTCCTGTGTCATGTACTTTGATGTGCGTCTGAGTGTTTTTGGACCCTCCTAAAACCTGGAAGGAACCTGAAAATAGTAAACACATATTAAGGCCGTTCCTCTACCTCCGCCTCCTACTTACAGGGCCCCTGGTTTCTGGGGATACTTGGCATGAAATATTAAACGTTCTGTTCTGATGTTGTGGGGTTTAACCCATCTCGCTTCTGCTATTGGATAACCTCTCCATTGTACTAAGTACTGTAGTTTCCCTTAATGGATCCTAGAGTCTAAGATTCGCTTGATCTCGTAATGCCTTTTGCCCTCCACTATTATTGGACCAGGAGCTTCCTTTTCAATTGGTCTTAATCTAAATCCCGTAACCAGCTTTGGGAACTGCAGTGAAATATTGAGTGCACTTTACCCAATATTCTGGGTAATTTCAGTTCTACTGTAACCAGATTAATGATTTTCACAATTGGGAAAGGCCCTATGTATTTGGGACCTAGATTCTTGCAGGGAATCCTCAACTTTTAAGTATTTCGTAGACAGATACATTTTATCTCCTATATGAAACGTTCATTGGGGAGGGAATCCATCCATTCAGTTAGTGCAGGGCTTTTCAACCAGTGGTACGGGTACCACCTGTGGTACATTGGCACCTGGCAGGTGGTACGCGACCATCCTAGAAAAGTGGTAGCGGGGGAGGGGAATGAGCTGAACTGGTGGCAGCACCGCACAAGCCTGAGTGAGAGACGGCTGGAGCTGCAGGGCTGTCAGGGCTCAGTGGAAGCGCCAGGATCAGCACCAGGCTCCAGCTGGAGCTTGGCACTGATCCTGGCGCTTCTGCTGAGCCCAGAAGAAGCGGCAATCAGCTGGAATGTTGCAGCATCTCCAGGGTCTTGTGATTTACATTCAGATGCTTTGCAACTGATCCATATTTATGACGGTCACAGTGTCCCAGGGTCATGTGAAGTGACCAAAACCTGCTGCAACCACCCAGCAGACGGGGGGAATAAAAACCAAACATCCCCCCACCCCAACTCCACTGCCAATCCTCAACAGAAATGCTCACAACAATGAAAACCTCGGACAGGAGGAAGAGCGCCGCCGGGCGGGCAGGCAGGTGTCTTGCTCGGCTGTGGCTTAGGGGGCACTTTTTTCAGTGCCGTTGTAACTTCGAACAGTCATTAAGCGAACTGTTGTAAGTCGAGGACTACCTATACTTTATCACCTTTTTTGGGGGGGGGGTCATCAAGTTTTTGACACCTTGCTAGGCGACTGGTGGTACTCGGATGTTGCCATATCCTAAAAGTGGTACAATGGGTGAAAAGGTTGAAAAGCCCTGATTTAGTGTGACTGATGAGGGGTTTTCCTTGGGCATTCTGGTGCAACACTCTCTCCTACTCTTCAATCAGCACACTCATGTCCTGGAAAACAACATTCCTTTGATTTAAACTTCACAATTGAACTATGTAATATGCCCTATGAGAAAATAACATGAAGATTCCCCCCCCCCTTTTTAATTTTAGAACAAATAAATACAGTTTCAAACCAGTCTCAACAGAGCATATATGACCCATTTGCTGGTATGAAGACTCCAGGTCAGAGGCAGCTGATTACTCTACAAGAGCAGGTGAAGCTGGGGATGCTTACTGTGGATGAAGCTGTCCTGTGTTTCAAAGAGTGGCAGTTAAATCAAAAGAAGAGAGCAGAATCATTTCGCTATCAACAGGTATGTATTTCAAAGAGATGAACATTATAAAGTCTCACCACTAAACCTAGCTTGCCTTACATCTCACATTACTTTAAATCTGTCTGTTTTTGTCATTGCAGGAAAGGTCAATTGCCACAATTTCCGCTCCCTGTCTTTCTGTAAATAGCATAGTTGAGTTTTTAAATAGAACTCTTCAAATTTTAATAGGCTAAAATGGTGAAAAATTTCCTACAATAGACAGAACGTCTGATTTATGTAAAAAAAATCTCTTAAGGTAGCTTGGGACAACTAGAATACTATTGTCCTAGTGGAATATTTCCCCTCAGTTTCTTCATTTATGAACAGTAGGATAAGAAGAAGTTTTTTGAGAATTAAACTTATTCTCTTTGTGTAGTTGCCCACTCCATAACAATCTCCAGTTAGGAAAGAAATCTCTTTTTAATCAAGTTTTTATCCGACCTTGACATTCTTTTTACAAGAGACTTGGGCTTTAGAAGAACCCAATATAGATAGTTCCTGTATTAGCTAGTCAAGTGACAAAGGAGGGACACCTAAGTAGCTTTCCAGACAGTGAATATTCCCCACCACATTGCATGTATTGGGCAGCAACCCGCACTTGCATATTAAAAGTATTTCAATATTTTTATTATATCTTTCATTAAGGCTGAGTGGTTAAGACCCAAGCACTATGCAATGAGTGAGCTCCCTTCCTCACCCCAGCTTCTGCCAATCTAGCAGTTCAAAAGCATCAAGTAGATAAATAGGTACTACTTCGGTGGAAAAGTAACAGTGTTCCATGGTGCCATGCTGGCCACATGACTAAGGAAATGTCTTTGGACAGCACTGGTTCAATGGCCTTGAAACGGAGCTGAGCACCACCTCCTATAGCTATGCTGGCGAACCTATGGCACGCGTTGCCACAGGTGGCACGCAGAGCCCTCTCTGTGGGCATGCGCGCTGTTGCCCCACTCCTGGGCCTTCAGCTGGGTTTTAGAAAACCTTTTTACTTTAGGCCTCCGCCACCGTGTGCAAAAAACCCCAAAAGGTTCAATTAATCAGTCAATTCCAACTTCTCGCGGGGAAAAAAAAGATCTCGCAAAGTTGGAATTGATTGATTGAACTTTTTAGTCCCACCCAGTCTGCCGTTACCACGGCAGCCACGCCCACCCAATGGGCCACGCCCACCCGGCACCCGACAATACATAAGTGGGTTTTGGGTTGCAGTTTGGGCACTCAGTCTCTAAAAGGTTTGCCATCACTGTCCTATAGTCAGCAACAACTAGTGGAGTAAAATCTGCAAGGATTCCTTATCTTTATTATCAGCCTCTTTGTAAATATTGACAGGGTAGACCTCTAAGGAAATAACAATTATTTGGAAAAGTGATTTGTGTGCAGTCCTTCAGCTTCTACAACAGTGGTTCTCAACCTGTGGGTCGGGACCCCATTTGGGGGTCGATCGACCATTTCATGGGGGTCGCCAAGCAAGGCTGTCCGCCATTTTTTTTGTCCGCCGTTTTTTCCCCCTTTTCCGGCGGGTGCCTTACCTCCCTTGGGCTGGGCCAGCTGGTGGTCGGCCTGCTCCGTCTCTGCCACTTGCAGCTACGCCTCGGCCGGCGCAGGGGGCGGAACCACGCATGCGCGGCACTCCCAGGCAGGGAAAGTCCTCGACTTACAACCGGTTGGGTAGTCCTCGACCTGCGACCGGTTTAGTCCTCGACTTACGACCGGTTTAGTCCTCGACTTACGACCGGTTTAGTCCTCGACTTACGACCGGTTGGGGTCGCGGCATTAAAAAGGTTGAGAACCACTGTTCTACAATATTGTGTGGGGATTTCAATGTTTGAATGGAACCAGAAGGAGCTCTTCCTATCGTAGTCTCCTTACCTAGACAAAAGAGGATTTTGTTCCCTTTGTCTTTTTGAGATTTGCCAGCTTGCACAATTTTTCTAACAAGACTGGCTAACCGTTTTGACTTACTTGATTTTAAAAAGGGGGCTGTAGCAGGAGACACTGTGTACTAGTTGGGGTTTCTATTTGAAAGTAACTGATTGGCTGATATCTTCTAATCAAGGTGCTAGTGTAAATTCTATGAAAAAGGAGACATGCCCAGATAGTAATAATTTCCCTTTTCAGTTAAGGACTGATTTCCCTTTCAAACTAGCACGACCTTTCATTTGTAGAAACAGAAACATTATATGTTACATGGGATTAAAACTAGAATATTTCCTTGTTTAAAATCTTAAATGAAGAAGAATCATGCAATGGTGAGAACTATCAGGACAAGCCCCCAATTATTTGAAAGTCACACATCACACATCCTTTTTATTCAGAATCTCCAGAAACATAATACACAGGATGGTTTGACCAGGAGTATGTGGCTGCCAGAAGTTCTAGTTTGCTTTAATAAACTATATCAACAATGCCCTGCATAAATATCAATATGTAGATTACTAGTTTTGAAAATGAAGAAAAAAGAGGCCTCAGTAAAACAATGGTAACAGCATGGCTGGCTCAGGAATTCTGGGAGTTGAAGTCCACGAGTCATAAAAGAGCCAAGGTTGCCTACCCCTGCACTAGACCAAACGGGCTCTCCTGGATTTTTCAGTTTGAAAGTCTCTCTACTTTGAGTTGATTCAATTAATTCTTGCCAGATTTGCATGCCATTATGAATAATGAGGCATTTGTTCAGATTCCTAAAGTTTTAATTTTGCATTTCCAGGAAAATCTAAAACGGTTACGTGACAGCATCACTCGAAGGCAGCTTGAAAAGCAAAAGGCTGGGAAGCATGCAGGTAAAATCCTTAGCTAATTAACAACAGCAATTAGCCATCCTGTTGGTGCAAAACCAAGAAGTTATCATTAGGAAACTCTTATGTTGGTCTTGGCAGATTCATCTTTGTAAAGTACTTTATTGGGGACAGGTGGGAAGATTCACTAAATCTGAGCAAGGTGGAAGCATTGAGGACACAATGAATAAAATATTTATATTTTCATAGAATAATTAACTCCATTTGTTTTAATAGATATATCTAGCTATTTTATGAAATTTGTAATCATGTTAAATCAGACTATGCTATGTGAGTTTTTTTTAATATATCACAGTGAATACTTGATTTAACAACCCTCTTTTTAGGAGACATTGTGTCTTAAAAAAACCCACATTTATGTCTTGATGTCTTCCTGAAATAATATACAATAGGGCACCCAAAGTAGTCTAGGTGAAGCAATGCCTTTACTTACATTTACATTAATGTTTATGAATGGATTATGTAATTATATCAGTTTTATCATTTTACATTATTTGTATCATTTGTATGTTAACTTTATTAAACAAGTGATATTAATTGCTAACAAATTCATTTCTAACTTTCCTGTCCCCTTTTTAAGTTGCTTAATTATATGCTCCCTGGAGCCTATACCCCATCTATTCTTCTTAAGTATCCTGCTTATTCAATCACTCCATCATGTACAATGATAATGGTTCTGATAAGGATTCAAGAGGTCACTAGAAAAATGTTAACAACCAGTTCAGAAAAGGGGTATAAGAAAGAACTTGAAAAAAGTGTCTGCCCTAATGATCAAGGTGATTTCAGATTTACATTAACCCATTTATTGAAATTCCTTTAATCTACCTCTTCCCTTTTCAATGAAACTTGTTCAAGATTCAAGGAAAATCTTGTTATGGGAAAGTTGGCCTGCCAATGCTAGGCTATCAATACCTCTCAAGATGTGTACCTCTTTCAGCCAGCCAAATTCAGTATATTGAGCTTTCTCTGATCACTATTTTGTTTCTTCTTCCTACTGAATATAACTGGAAGATTCTTGTAGCCTCTCTTACTCCAATTGCTCAGTCCCTCTTACACATTTTATAGAGAATTTGATGTCAGCAACATTCATGGTTGTTTCCCATTGTTTTGTCACCAATTAAATACTCATGAGAATTAAGACTGGTGCTTCACTCACATATGCATATTTTAAAATATGAAAAACATTTTGTAATAGAGTCCTGGAGTATATTAATAATCCCATTGGATCCCCCTGCTTCAGTCTGCCTCTATTATTCTACTCAAAAACAAGCATTAAGATTTTGAGGAAGAGTGGGTAGAAAGCCTTCATTAACTTTGTATGGACAATGCTTTTACAAATTAATCTTTCACTGATCTCATGAACCATTTTAAAGAATACGTTGCAAATAACATTGTGACAAAATACAGAAATAGCTATAATAGGATATATTATAGAAAAATTCAGCAAGATGTGCCAAATGCTTAAAACACATTGAAATTATCTATTCTTTTTCAGCAACTGAAACTATTCATAATTTATAATAGTATTTTTTATTTTTATATATACTGTATATGGGACTTCTTGGAGCTCCTCATATGTTTCTATTATTAGCTACAGAAAGTCTGTGGCAATGAGCGACATAAAAGCAATGTAAATAAATAAACATGAAGAATATTAATAGATGAAGCACTTCTAACAGGAAAGATATGGAAGTGATACAGATGCATAAGAGCATCCGAACATGATCCAATCAGTATTATCATTGGCCAAACACACCACCTTGATCTATCCATCATTATAAACAGAAGAAACAACAGCTTCTTTAAATTGTAATATTTAAAGGATATGCCTAATATGAGTGATGCAATTATAGTGTTGCACCATCACCAAAAACAAAAACAGTAACATACATTTATTACACTAAATCAATAAAAGTTATGGAATAGCTTGTTACCTATGCTGTTCAAGAGTACATTATATATGTGGGTATGTGCATAATTCTGTATTTATTTATTTTTGTCATATTTATGTAGTGCAGTGGTTCTCAACCTGTGGGTCGGGACCCCATTTGGGGTCGATTGACCATTTCATGGGGGTCGCCAAGCAAGCCTGTCCGCCATTTTTTTTGTCCGCCATTTTTTCCCCTTTTCCAGCAGGTGCCTTACCTCCCTTGGGCTGGGCCAGCTGGTGGTCGGCCTGCTCCGTCTCTGCCGCTTGCCAGCTACGCCTCGGCCGGCGCAGGGGGCGGAACCACGCATGCGCGGCGCTCCCGGGCAGGGAAAGTCTTTGATTTACGACCAGTTGGGTAGTCCTCGACTTACGACCGGTTTAGTCCTCGACTTATGACCGGTTTAGTCCTCGACTTACGACCGGTTGGGGTCGCAGCATTAAAAAGGTTGAGAACCACTGATGCAGTGTATATCGGAGGTGGTGACCCTTTGAGAGCTGTATGCAACAAAATTTCATTTTAACGTATGCCGATTAGTGTACATTCAAAGTGACAATAAAGTTATTATTCTATTCTATTCCTGGTTCAGTGGGAAAAAGAAAAGGATCAAAACATGTCCTAATAAAGATTAAAACATCCCATCCATGGTTTTCCAAAATGGTAAAGGGGCACACTCTGTCTGAAAAGCCAAGTTAGATGATTTCACCTATTAGAATTGTAATTGTCCATGCCAGGATATGTGCCAGAAGAGAAACAGCTTCTATCTTTCCAACTTTAACTCAGGAGGGACTTGAAAGTTTTGGCCTGGTTAATTGGTTAATCATTATTCTTTCTTCTTAGATTTGGAAATCACCGTACCAACTGGACATTCTCAGAGTATGCCAAGGAAACCAGAGTGTAGGATTTATGAATATAGTCCGAGGAAAAATCTTTTCCCAATAAGTAAAGAGATAAAACGAGGGGACTGGAAAACAGAAAGCACATCAAGTACTGCAAGTAAGCAACAGAGGTAGCCAGGAAGCTATCTAGCAGGGAATGAAAAAGTGTACTTCGGATTTCAATAGTTTGAATTGCTGGAATTAAGGAATTCCTAACCTATAAATTGATTCTTCACATTAAATGTATTGTCATATCTCTTTTCTTCCTGTCTGGCTCTCTTGATCACCCACCAGCTCTAGCTGTCTATTTAGTCCATTATTTATATCTATGCATTATGTTTGTACGTACATTTATTTGATTATTACTTTTAATACGTTATTGCTATCAATTATATAGAATCAGTTACTGCAATTAAAAATCTTTTTAGTTCTTTAGCCTTTTAAGTCATAATCATTCTTTTTATAGTCTCCTACATTTAGGCAAGAAAAACCAAATGTACAGGTATAGTATAGGGGGTACCTTGCTCAATAGTAGTAACTGTGAGAGGGATCTCGGAGTCCTAGTGGACAATCATTTAAATATGAGCCAGCCGTGCGCTGCAGCTGCCAAAAAAGCCAACTCAGTGCTAGGCTGCATTAACAGAGGGACAGAATCAAGATCACGTGAAGTGTTAATACCACTTTGCAATGCCTTGGTAAGGCCAGACTTGGAATACTGCATCCAGTTTTGGTCACCACGATGTAAAAAACATGTTGAGACTCTAGAAAGAGTGCAGAGAAGAGCAACAAAGATGATTAGGGGACTGGAGGCTAAAGCATAAGGAACGGTAGCTGGAATTGGGTATGTCTAGTTTAATGAAGAGAAGGACGAGGGGGGACATGATAGCAATGTTCCAATATCTCAGGGGCTGCCACAAAGAAGAGGGAGTCAAGCTATTCCCCAAAGCGCCTGAAGGCAGGACAAGAAGCAACGGGTGGAAACTAACCAAAGAGAGATGCAACCTAGAACTAAGGAGAAACTTCCTGACAGTTAGAACAATTAACCAGTGGAACAACCTGCCTCCAGAAGCGGTGAATGCTCCAACACTGGAAGTTTTAAAGAAGAAACTGGACAGCCATTTGTCCGAAATGGTATAGGGTTTCCTGCCTGAGCAGGGGGTTGGACTAGATCACCTCCAAAGTCCCTTCCATGAAATAATAATAATAATAATAATAATAATAATAATAATAATAATAATAATAATAATAATAATAATAATAATAATAATAATAATAATAATAATAAATTATATTTTGCAGTTATACTTCCTATAGACACAATATTAAACATTTTCATTATGTTCCTCCTTGTGTTTAGAATCTTAAACATGTTATCAGTTTCATGATATCATAATTTTTACTAACAATTAAAATTGTAGTCAATATAGCAAAAGGGTTAGACTAATATTTTAGTGTGACAGTCGCAATTCTATTTTTCACAGCTGTGTTTTTCTGTTCATTTATTGAAATAAAAAGACTTGGCTTGACTGCAATTCTCTACAAATTATGATCATGCTCTCATTTTCTTGAAGAAAAAAAAATCATTTATAATTTTAAGAGTTGTGAAAAGAAGCATAAAAGTATATAATGAGAATCTCTGAATTCCTGCCACTATCATTCCCATTGAACATGATAAATAAACTATGGGAAATGATTAATATGTGCACATACCTATGAGTAATATAAACTGACTTTTTTGGTGACATTGCACAGAATTATATAAATGTTTAAATCAGAGATATGCCTTTTGTTTTGGAGTAATTTTCTTTTTTCCTCATAATAAAATGTACATTTTTTAAATATTCACATAGTAATGCAAAAGCAAAGTTTTGATTTTTTTTTATCCTGACAGAAACATAGCAACATCATATTAAGAGAAAAATAGAATTTTTTTTCCATTGTACTATTATTTTATCACATTTGTGATTACTATATTTTATGGAGATTTTGAGAGTTGTTGGAGTAATGTATAATACAATGTATAATGTATAATATATTGTATAAAGAATAATATATAAATTATGTAATTTAAAAATAATTTATTTGAATTTACTGTTTTTTTAATTTGCTGCTTGTTGGAAGGCAAGCAAGAATGGTGTTTATAGTTCAAGAATGATTAACGCTTTTTAGGAAAATATTTGACTAATTTAAAATATTTGATAAACCAAAATAAATTCTCACTTTTCAGTCAGAGTTGGCAAAAATGGGTGGAAATTTAAATTAGTGGAGCCTATTTGTAAAATACTTATTTTTCTCATCTAACCAGGCAGTTCAAGTAACCGATCAAGTACCCGAAGTCTATTGAGTGTCAGCAGTGGAATGGAGGGTGACAATGAGGTAAACTTTCTTTATGTAAATTTTCTTTCTTTCTTTCTTTCTTTCTTTCTTTCTTTCTTTCTTTCTTTCTTTCTTTCTTTCTTTCTTTCTTTCTTTCTTTCTTTCTTTCCTTCTTTCTTTCTTTCTTTCTTTCTTTTTTTCTCTCTCTCTCTCTCACACACATACACACATACTTTTCTGAATGAATTTCCTACTAAGGCTACAAACAGTATTCTATATTTATTTTGTAGAATGCATAAACAGTAGATTTTGTCCCAACTTAAAATTCAATGCAGAGATAACTTGAAAATAGCTGTGAAAAGAATATGGCTATTTATTTATTTTAAAGGTATTTCAACATAAGATATAAAGACAAATTTATGCATGTCATAATGCATCAGTTCTTTTTAACACAACCGTAGAATCCCTATAATCAACACACCAGACAATTTTAACAGAGAAGGTTTAGATGAAATACAAAGGACTGTTTTTGTTAATATGATCTATTATTACAGAATTCTGACAGTTGGAGTTATTTACTGAAGTGATTGTAGATCTTTTGTTAAGTAAGCTAATAGTAGTAATAGAGATTTTCTAATCAAATTTACAGTGAAGTACCATAACTTCAACTCATTCCCCTCCCCTGCTACCCCTTTCTAGGATGGTCGCGTACCACCGGCCAGGTGCCAAAGTACCACAGGTGGCATGCGTACCACTGGTTGAAAAGTCGTGGTCTAGACCATCTCTGAGAATCGACACAAGTGAATGGAAGAAAAAAACTGTTTGTAATTAGTTATTTTGCAGCCAAATAGGAAAACTTTCTTTTAAAAAAAATATTTTATTTTAAGGCATTTCACTGAGTGCTAATCTCTCCAGTACCTGAGTCCCCAATATAATGCCTGGGGAAAGAACAATAATATGTCTAGCAAGTAGTAATAGTAGTAGTAGTAGTAGTAGTAGTAGTAGTAGTAGTAGTAGTAGTAATAATAATAATAATAATAATAATAATAATAATAATAATAATAATAATAATAATAAAGTTGGAAGGGACCTTGGAGGTCATCTAGTCCAACCCCCTGCTCAGGCAGGAAGCCCTATACCATTTCGGACAAATGGCTGTCCAGTTTCTTCTTAAAAACTTCCAGTGTTGGAACATTCACCGCTTCTGGAGGCAGGTTGTTCCACTGGTTAATTGTTCTAACTGTCAAGAAGTTTCTCCTTAGTTCTAGGTTGCTTCTCTCCTTGATTAGTTTCCATCCGTTGCTTCTTGTCCTGCCTTCAGGCGCTTTGGAGAATAGCTTGACTCCCTCTTCTTTGTGGCAGCCCCTGAGATACTGCAACACTGCTATCCTGTCCCCCCTCATCCTTCTCTTCGTTAAACTAGACATACCCAATTCCAGCAGCCATTCCTTATATGTTTTAGCCTCCAGTCCCCTAATCATCTTTGTTGCTCTTTTCTGTTCTCTGTTCTAATTTATAAATAAAAAGTGAATGAGATAATGTCTTTAAAAATACAAACTTTAGCTAACCTTGACGTGATGGCCCGTTGCCTGGAGGCCGTACGGGTCTGGATGGGAAGGAACAGACTTAGACTCAACCCTTCCAAGACCGAGTGGCTGTGGTTGCCGGCGCCCCGGCATAGTCAGCTGGTTCCATCGCTGTCTATAGGGGGCGAATCCTTGGCCCCCTCAGAGAGGGTGCGCAATCTGGGAGTCCTCCTGGATCCA